AAGAAATTAATTATATGATGAAAAGGTATAATTAGTCAGTCGTTGATTTGGAGAAATTATTAAGAATTAAGCCAAATAACGTATAGAAAAGGCTTATAAACTAGCTAAAGGTTTTTTTGACGATTTCAACTCCGACTCTCTTGATTATCTTCGCAACGATTTTGACTCTTATCGTCTTTATTACTTCTCTTTATGACTCCAATCCAATCGTTTTTATGGTCTTCACAATTACACTTCCGATCTATACAAGCGATTTTTAAAAAAGAAAAGAAAAGGATCTATAGTTGAGCAAGCGATAATTATAATATTTGATCAATTTATTTAACAAATATAACTTAAAAAAATAATGGGAGGTTTGTCTAGCCTATAAGTCACGAATTAGGCCTGGTACTGGCTAGATATATGCTGAAATAAGTACTGCACAAAAATTGGATCTTGATAGTAGTGTAAAAAAAAAAATATATAAAAAAAAAAATGTGGAATGAAGAATTTAATTAAGTATGAATAAAAGTAACTACATAAGTTACTTAGCCTGAAAGAAGGGTAATGAATGAAGCTTGTAAAACTTAAATCCTCCTTTACATAAGAATAGTGAAATTATTTAAATACTATACGAAAAATTTTAAACTCAAAAACAAAGTCACGTATTTTGCCATATACAATTCGCTCTAAGAATTTGGACTTATTGGATGCCAAAGTGCTTGTTCAAACCACTAGTTGATTTTCTAACAAAGATGAAGCATATCGATAAAACTGATGAAGTTGTGAAACAACAAACAGATCAAGCATCAACGTATATTGATGATAGTGTATCCTCGATAATCAAAGAAAAGCTTAATAGTGAAGGTTCAGTTTATACTTTATCAACAGAAATTCTCACAGAAGAATCGACTTAAGAGATAAGTCGAGGTTTAAAAGTAGTTGAAGAAGCTGGCTATAGCATCTCAGTAAAAGTCGGTGTGCCAGAAGTTCCAGCATTGCCAAAATCTGAAACAGAAGATAAACCTGTAGATAATGAATCGAAATTAAAAAAAATCTGGTCCGAATTAAGTTGTCTTGTAAACAAAAATATTAAAGAATTTAAAAGAAATGAAGCTTTAAAGTATGTGAACTAACTCAAGATACTTAAATAAACGAGTACCATATATGTTAGTTTTGGATTTAAATGGTAGGCACGAAAATTTTATAAGCTATAATCGAAATAAAAAAATATCATCTGCCTGGTGTCAAACATGTGATACTCTAAGAAAACAATACAAGAACGGGTGAATGAAAATTAGAAAACATTTTAAAGATCTTGAAGAGGAATTTGGATCAGTGTTTTCAGCAACGTGGTTGATGAAAACATAATAAAATTTATGAAGCAGAATATCAAAATATATTCATACAGACTTTCATAATGGTAATATATTACAAGATGAAGGCATTAATAAGAGTATGTGATTTTATATTTCAGATCTAGGAATATCTAGAAAAATAATGAAAATGATTCAGAAGACATTTATAGGTTTGATATTATTATGACCGAAGTATCTATAGGAAAATCATTTCAGTATGATGAAAGATTGGCAATCCAAATATCACATAAACAATGTAACATCCATCGATATACTCGGGAGAATAGTAAAGAAAAAAGTTAAGGATAGATAAGTGGAAATAAATATGTTGATAATTGCATTAGAGAATATCAACTTAAAGTCACAGTATATGAAGATGTGATTGAATAAATTCCTTTTAACAGATTAGTTATAAGAATCCGCAACTTAGTTAGATAGTAAAAGAATAAGTTTTAAGAAATTTAATCACGTACCCTATCACATGCTTGCACTTAAGACATTAATTAAGAGTCAAATTATTAATAAGCAAATAAGTAGATTACATTTTAAGCTTAAAAAGAATTGGATAAAGTAAAACTAAGATCAATATAAAAAGAAAAATTGATTGTTTAAGAATATACTTTGGAAGTCGATCACGTAAAACGAAATAGTGTCGTTGCACTTGGATAATTGTTAAACCAGGAGAGAATTTCGTATTTGAAACCAGATTGTTATGTCTGAGAAGAAGATCGGAAAGATGATAATGAGAAATAATTTAAAATACATTACACGAGAAGAAACTTATATTCAAATGAATATGAAAACGAATTTTTTCATAAAGGCATAAATATTCAAACATAATAAGGAGAATTCAGCATTGTGAATAATTACAAAAGAATCGAGACGATAAATCTAAAATAAGTATTATAAATCGAATTTAAGATAAGTTAATATTTGTTATGTTATAAATTAAGCTAAAACAAAACGTATTTAACTGAATTATTGTACGAACTATAATGTATAAGATTACTAAGCATTTTTTTTAAATTAATTATTATCAATGAGAATAAAGCATCCGAATATTAAATGATAAAAGATTTAAATTCTATAATATTTAGGGATATGTTACAGTTATAATACTTATGTTCAACCGAAATTAAATAAGAAATTATTTCCGAACCTAATATCAATATTTCAGCATTCTGGAATTTGTTTAGATTTATAAGAATTTTTGCTAAAGTGTTGTTACAACAAATCTAATTGAATTTAAAGATAAATTGTTAATTAAGTTATAAATTTAATTATTTTAATATATATTATACAATATAAAATATAATTATATACTACTAACCTTAAGTTTATTAAGATTTTATTAAAGATATATTTTTAGATATTGAATATTTATTTTAACTATTATGATTAATAGTTAAAGATTCAAAATATACCTGTTTCGATTATATGAAATATAATTCTGGAAGAATTATATAAAGCGAGGGAGTAGTATATAAGGATTATATTTTGAATTTTTTTCATAATATTTTTTTTAAGATTTTAAGAATTTAATTAATAATTAAAATTAGTTTGATTTTAGATACGATTTAAAAGAAGATTTAAGATTAATAAAAAGAAAAATACTAAAATATAAAATTTATTAAGATATATATATATAACTAGCAAAACAAAGAAACGAAGAAATGAAATCTAATCCTCCTACATATAATCCTCATCTATATTCTCCTCCAAACACTGCGTACTACTCTCACCAATCTCATTTGTTAATACCATCGGGAAACTACTTTTTTCTTCTTTACTTGCCAACTCCTCTTCTAACATCGCCTCGTATTTTCTCAACTCATCATCTAACCAAACTTTATAATCTTCTTCTCAGATTCCTCATCATCATTATTATCTTCGTCTTCTTTTTCATCTTCTTCAACTTCTTCACCAAATTCTGCTAAATCGTATCTTTTTCTCAACCTCTGTCTTTCTCTACCTTTCTCTTTTCTTCTATCTATAATACCTAACACCTCAAGCATATCTCTTCTCAATATATTGTACCCAACTCAAATTTTCTCTTTTCCATATCCAACTTCTCATATCTTCTTTGTTCATCTTTCAACATCTCTCTTAAAACCTCCAATCTAAATTCTCCTGACTCCACTACTTCATCCAACATCTTCTCCAATCTTCTATTTTTTTCTTCTAACCAAAACATCATATTCTTCTCTGTTTTTTCCAAAACCCATCTACTCCACCTATAAATTTTAAATTATTTTTAATATCTTGTTATTTTTTTTTTAATTCGGCAGTCTTGCCTTAACTGTTTATTAGTACTCTAAGGTATTACGGTTACAAATATACATATACATTTACAACTATCTAATTTATTACAGATAAGACTCACCCGGTTACTAACTTAGTACCT